TTTTGCAAAAATAGACTCCGTTTCTAGAGGTTTTCTTCAGGAGGAGAGCAGGTTGGTTTCTTGGAGTGTATGTGAAATGCCTGTTCATGAAAAATGTCTATGCTGACTAGAAATTGAATTAGTGCCAATTACAGTTCCTGTGGAAGTCTGGTAGGAATTCAGCTAAAACCAAGCAAAGCAGCTGCCTGTTGCAGAGCGTCAAGGACAAAGTCATGCACTGAATTGAACCTGTAATCTTGAAAGGTAAATTCTGACCTTGTTACCCCCTTGCTCAAGCCATCCCGCCACTGCACACTTCCTATTTAAGATGCCTCCATATACTGTTTTATAAACCATTTGAGGTTTACATGGGTCAATTCATGCTGTACTGTAAGAACTGGGAGGCCGAGAAGTTGACTGAATCCAGGTGTTAGAACCACATATTCACATATCATCGCAAACAGCAACAACATGGGCAGGAAGAAGAATAATGAATGAGGACAAGAGAGAAGATGCCTCCATTCAGATAAGGAGGTGGAAAAGCTGTGCAATACATAGTCAAGATGCAGGAAGGGGTGAGCGTGACTGGATGAAATGGGGGAAAAGAGCAGTTTACAATGCAGGCCAAGGCTGGGCACTGCTCTCTAAGGCATGCACCAACAGAGGGAAGTACAGAGGAGCATGTTCCATTTGGCAAGTCTTCCAGCTGTTCCCTGTCTGCCTCAGTCTGTGCTTACAACTCAGATACATTTGGCACTGGCTGGATAGGAGACTGCTACAGGAATGGCAGCCCTTTCACATAATTTGCCCATGAGCTTCCTCTTCACTGTGCCAAGGAGAAGGGAGACAAAGCTTTGGCTGCTTGCTTTGCAGTAGTCTGACAGCCAGGCAACAGGAAGCTGCAGAGAGCCCGTCAAGCTTGCAAAATCTCCAGCAGGAGGAGTTTTAGATGGTTCAAAGAGAGCATTCAAACAAAAACCTCCCACAGCCCGAAATTCAGCTCATGCTAATTGAGCACTAACTGCAGGCCTTCAAGGAAAAAAAAATCCTTTCCTCCAGTCAGTGCTGCTCTGAACATAGCAAAGACCAAAGCAGTATTTAGAAATAGGTATGGGAGATGTATGGTTTCACTGTTTTTAACTACTGCTTTAAAGACAGTAGGTAAAATTAGCTTTTGATTGCAGGCACTGTTTAGAAGCAGGAGATTGTAGCAGTCTTTGGGCTAAATTTTGATACCCTAATGTTGAATAATATGCTGCTCTTATTCTTCTTGATAGTAAGGTTCAAATCAGTTTACAAAGGAACTCAGATATTTTTATTATAAAGAGGATTAGGCATGGGTAGAGATATTAAGTGGAATCAGGAGCTGAATCGGGTTTCTTGTACCTGAATCCTTTTCCCTGGTTACTAGATACCAGTGCTGCCATTTGCTGCTGTTCTACCCACATAAACACAGTATTTTAAAGCATATCAAGAACCAAGGGTATGATGCAGTAACAGGGCCATGCCTACCTCATGGCTCACTGACACTGATCTGCCCTGGCTTCCTTGCCCTTACTCAGCTGGTGGCTCTAGGGCTCATTGGAGTTTAACTTGACAAAGAAAGCATAACATTTTTCTCCTGAGTTAGTGAGATGAATAGGTTCAATGAAGTGTTCAGTGAGCACCAGAGCCAGCTCAAGAGACTGGGCCACTTATGACTGGGAACAGTCACAGCTGGGACAGGAACAGCTGCATCTTTCAAGACAGCACATTCATAGATGACCTTGACAACATTGTCAAACCACACACAGAGTCTTGCAGTCTTTCCTTTTGTACTGCAGATACCAGATTCAATTATGTGAGCCACTGAAAAGAGTTCCACTCAGAAGTGGGACACTGCTGAAGACTAGTTTACAAAGGCTGACCTGCAGTATTTGGGTTAGTAGAAAGGGACTAGAAATCAAGTCCTCTTGGAAGGCAGGAATTCCACGGTCATCACTCCAAGTGTAAAAATTGGAAAATAAAGATTTCAGTATAGTTTAGGTCATTCCCAAGAAGCTGCTTTTCTGATATATCTTATTCATTACAAGCCGATCATCCCAGTTACTCCTGTTATTGCTGGATAGGAATGGTCTGTGTCAAGGAGGCTTTACAGATAGCAATTGATTCATTTAATTATAGATATACATATTTTCCACCTCTAATTCAAATGCTATCCAAGAATACAAGTACAGTTTGCCTGTTTAAAAGCAGTGCATTTGACCTAGATATCTGTTATTGTCTCTCAAGACAAAAAGTGTCCGTTCTTTTTAAAGTTCTTTCATGTTGCAGGCTCCATGCAACACACAGAGGTACAAAAGTTTTAACGTAATTATGTTAAACCAAGACTGTAAGACCTATCATACTTGGCACTGAGAAACAAAAATGGAAATAACTGACTCTGAGACATTCTAGGACTTAGCAGACAAATAAGTATCTTCTACCCAGGCTTTTGAAAATCACATTTAAAAAACCAACCAGCTCAGAACTTACCTCTATGTGATGCTTGACTTAAAAGATGCCTGGAAGAGGTCCTGTACAATAATGTTACGCACTGGAAGGTTTACACAGAATTTAAATGGAAAGAGTTATTATCAGCATTCAGAGAAGAACGTTGTTTCATTAATTTCTGTTCCCTCTCCAATTGGTACTTTTCAGTCACTCCCAGTCCACTGTGTTGCTTTAGGAGTATCTTTCAACTAAGCACCCAGTAGAGCATCTGATATTTTTCCAAGAAAAGCTTTTTGAGATGCTGAACGAACAGTCCTTTCAGTACAATCCCTGCGCCAAACAACTTTCTACATAAAAGCCCTCATTATGAATTTTGAGTCAGTGGGCTTTTCTCAGTCAGTGTGCTGCTGATCAAGCTTTCTTGACCTGGAATTGGTATTTCCCATACGGTTTGCATGAAGTCCTAAAGCACATTCAAATGCTGCACAGGCTAATGACTACAAAAGAAAAAAACAAAAAAAAAAAAAACAAAAAAAAAACCCCAAAGAAAATCACATTAAAAAATGCCTGTCGGAATTGGCAACTCTAACCTCTCCCTTAGCTGCCATCTCATTAACATATTTGTTCAAAAGCCTTTTCTCTGCTTCATTACATAATTTGTGTTACAAAATCCAAATAAACACTCATTATTGCCAGGTCTAAATAGTGGCTTACTGGTCTCCCTTTTTCTTCTTCTTCTTTTATTTTTCCCAGAGAAAAATGAGGGACAGAAGGGGCTTGTTTGGATGGGAAATGAACCACATCAATTTCTGAGTAACATCTGGGACATCTGTTGTGTATGGTATTTCAATACGTTATGCAAATACTAGTGAATGATTCTTCCCAATACCTCTGCAAAGTAGAAGAATTAATATTATTGTCCCCATTTTACACACTACAAAGGTCAGTTTGTATTTTCTGTATCTCATTGTTCCACACCAGACAGGGTCTATGACATCAGAGAAGAGCTGCTTGTTTCATACTGCTGTAAGTGATCAGTTGTAGTAGCAGGTCCAAGAAATGCTAGCCTTTCCATCAGAAAATCCTGAAGATACTGGTGTCAGCATTGAAATGAAAACATGAAGTTCTGTTCCTTTTTCTCTCTATCTTAAATTTCTTCTAAAGATCCCTCTGTAAAAATGTAGAGCTGTATGACTTCCAGCTGAGGTCCAGTGACAGGCAGGACCTGCTACACCTGGGGCCTCTAGTGCTGTCTGACAGTCCCTCCCATGACAGAATATCACCAGGGAGAAAAGGCAAAGCTGGGTAATGCAGGCTGGAGATTTCACCTTGCAGATACTTACATACCCTGAAGTGGTCCAAGGGTCACTGAGGAAACAGTGGGCCCTGGGAGTCTGCTAGGGCAAGGCTGAGCAGCCACGTTGTGGGGCTTGGTGTGGTGAGGCTGGACAACCAATGCTGGGTTTCTCCCCCATGGTGATGGTGGCCAAATGTTTCCTCTCCACTGTTTGTGTCTGATTGGGCCAGCATTGCCTCAGGGAGGCCAAGGTGGATACTGCTGTGACCACCACTCTAGCAGAGCCCACTGCCCAAAGGCAGCCCTTCTGGGTTTGAACTGCAGCACTTGAGGGTTTGTTCCATGGTGCTTCTTCTCCCTCTCTGCTGGCTCCTGCCCAGACTGCAACCTGGTAGACTGCAATGTTATGGTTACCAGTAAAATACCATAGAAGGTGAGTTCACAAGCAGGACTGCCATGCTCCTGGCAGGTTCCTCCATAGACAGGTACTGGTGCTACACTGGCACAACACACAGCACAGGCATGAAGAGGAGATGGTGGCCAGAGGGCTCCTCGCAGACTCCTTGGGGAAGCAGTGACGAAGACAAGGTCCTGCTCCCTCTCACATCCCTGAGGCACTGGCGGGCAGGCAGCCTGTCATAGCCTGCTGCCTCCCTCCTCAAGAAGCCATGGGCTCACTCGGCTCCTCAGCAGGTGTTTGCAGTGGGCCAGCGAGTGAGGAAGAAGAATCACAGAATCCTAGAATCAATCATAGACTGGTTTGGGTTGGGAGGGACCTTTAAAGGTGGTCTAGTCCAACCCCCTTGCAATGAGCGGGGACATCTTCAGCTGGATCAGGGTGCTCAGAGCCTCATACAGCCTGACATGCCTGAGGGTTGGGGTTTGAGGCCAGGTGGGTCAGGCAGCCCCGCTGCAGTGAGGCAGAGGCGTTCCTCTGCCCCTGGCTGCTTCAGGCAGCTCTGGGCAGCAACCCTGCCTGCTGCATAACCCAGCTTCTGTAAATTAACTTTATTTGGGAAAGAAGGAAACTGACACCCCGTAGTTCCTCTAAGGACTAGCGAACTAACCTGTATGTGGAACTTGTACTAAAAACTAATACTTGTCTGGGAACACTGCTGTTTCTCCTTTAAAGAATTTTTGGCTAAGCAGCTATTTGGGGTGGAGTTACTGCAACAGAGGCTTTCAGTTTCGTTTTTTTTTCCCCTCTCTCTTTGTAGGAGAAAGGATATCCAGCAGAATAAGAAGAAAAATCATGGCAGAAGAGAGCAGATTCTGCAAAAATTGGTAAGAGATCTTTCACCCTCTCCACCCCTACAAAGTGTGGGGATTTCAAGAGTTTTCCAGGATTTTCCGTAATGCTACCTAGGTCTCCTGTAACAAGGGGAGAAGAGGAAGAATCATACAACAGGAGGGGTGTACACCAGCCATTGAGTAGTAAACAAAAATATTTTGTACGCATTTTCACATTTCTGGGTTGCTGCTTTCTTGCTACTTTGCTGTGAAGAGGTTTCTTCCACAGGCCTCTCCTGTGCCACATGTTCTCTTTTTACATAATGACACTGTGGTAACTTTGCAGTGTCTGGCAGAGCAGTCGGTGCTGGGACCATGCCAAAAGCAGCAGCTGTTTGAATGGCAGCCAATTGTACTGGGTCTGGCTGGGGTGGAGTTAATTTTCTTCATAGTATTTCCTATAGTGCCATGTTTTGTATTTGTGGCTAAAACAGTGCTGATAACACACCAGTGTTTTGGCTTTTGCTGAACAGTGCTTGCACATTGTCAAGGTTTTCTTTTTCTCTACTCTGCCCTGCTCTGTGAGAAAGCTGGGGGTGAGCAAGAGTTTGGGAGGTGACACAGCCAGGACAGCTGATCCAAACTGACCAAAGAGATATTCCATACCTCATGGTCAGGAATAAAAACTGCATTAGAGGAAGAAAAACAGGGTTGGGTTTTGGTTTCTGTTTCCAAAATGGCTCTTGTTCAAAGACTGGCTGGGCATAGGTACGCCTGTGGGAGGTGTGAGTGATGTCGTTTGCTTCGCTTGTTCCTTCGCCTTTCCTTCAAGTATTAAACTGTTTTTATCTCAACCTACAAATTTCCTCACTGCTGTTCTTCCTGTTTCTGCCCCAGTCCCTGTGTATGTGTGGTAGGGTGGTAGTGAGTGAGCAGCTGTGCGGGTGCTTGGCTGCTGGCCAGGGTCAATCCACCACACCAGTTCATTTACTCTTCTCTCTTTCCCATTTATTTGCTTGATAGTAAACGAGATGTGTCTGCTGACAATTTCTCCCTCCATGAGGCCCACTGCTTGCGGTTTCTCACTCTCTGTCCAGAATGTGATGAACCCGTTGCCCAAAAGGATATGAAAGACCATCAAACAGAAGCACACAAGAAGGTGAGGAATGCCACATATTCTTCAGGGTTTTCTTGCAAATAGCAAAAAGCTCTGCTAGCCCTGAAGTAGTATATTCATGGCACTGTGCTCTATATTAATGTGCTGGTTTTAGCTGGGATAGAGTTAATTTTCTTCCTAGTAGCTGATATAATACACACTACATTTTAGTTGTTGCCAAGCAGTGCTTACACTAAGGTAAGGACTTTTCAGCTTCTCATACTGCCCTGCCAGCAAGGAAGCTGGGGGTGCACAAGAAGCTGGGAGGGGACACAGCCGGGACAGCTGACCCAAACCGGCCAAAGGGATATTCCATGGCATATGATGGCATGCTGAACACGCTGAACAATACAAGCTGGAGGCAGTTGGCTGGGGGTGGCTGGGCATTGGTCAGCAGGTGGTGAGCAGTTGCATTGTGCATCACTTGTTTGCTATTTTCTTTTATCAGTAGTATTATTTTTACTTTCCTCTTCTGTCCTATTAAACTATCTTTATCCCAATCCATGAGTTTTACCTTGTTTTTCCCCCGTATTCTCTCCCCCATCCCACGGGGTGGGGGTAAATGAGCGAACAGCTATGTGGTGTTTAGCTGCTTGATGAGTTAAACCACAACAATTAATTAAATTTGAATTTCTGTAATTGTTTGACCAGAAAATCTGTAAGGGTCTGATATGACCCTTCAGGCCAGGTTACAGCACCTTTTGATCTTATTGCATGCTCAGCTTGAGAATAAAACTGCCACTACGTTGAAGCATGAATACACCAGTATGACTTTTTATTTTGTCCTGCTAGTTTTATTGTTTTAGCAATTCCATTGATTTCAGTTACTTAACAGAACACAAGTAGCTCTCATAGCAAACCTATAGAAAACTAGTATATCTCCTATGTTTTCAGAGAGGCTACTATAATTTAGACTAGCTGAATATCAGACCTATGCTTCTAAGTTAAACTTCTGTCAAAATTTTGAATACACACTCTTTATTTCACATCACACTTTGCATTTCACATGGGCACCTTTGAGAACTGGATCCTCATACAGAATGACAGCTTCCTGCAGAATCATCAGATACCTGTTTTCCTCAAAATCTCATCAACATAACTCAGGCCTGACAGAGAAACAAAAATTCACCAGCAGCTTGTTGATGATTAGGATGAAAATGACAGGAAGATCACCTCAGCAGCTTGAAACTGTATTGACATATGAAAGCACTAACCATCCTCCCATGCTCCCAATGAACTACTGTATGTTTTGCTTGCAGGTCAGATGCAATCTTTGTCACCAAAGCATGCAGCAATACCAGTTGGAGCATCATGAGGTAAGTATGGAGTGCAGTACTTTTTTACCTTCTAGGCTGACCTCTCTGACCAGCCACCAAGAGTCACACTAATGGGTTCAACAGCAAAAACATGTAAATCCCAGACACCTGTCCTGGACCATGAAGAAACTTAAACCTCTCAGCAGTTGCAGTGTTTTGGCATGCCTTTTGCCCCTAGTAAATAAGTATATCCCATGGTGGTTGCCCAGGCAGTTGTGATGGGACAGTTTGTTCCAGGAGATAATCTATTGCTTTCTCGTCCTTGGCACCTCAGGCTGATGTTCTTTGAGGGCTTCTCAAAGACATATCCATCCTGTCCCCACACTTACATTACCTGCTTTTCCCAAGGAGTGGTTATACAAGGAAACAGCTAAGGAGGAGATACACAAAAGAACTGGCAGAGGCTGGGAAGTGAAAGCAGCCTGTCCATGCTAGCTGTAATCTAACCATATCAAGGAACCAAAGCAGTGAAGACACAGCAGGCTTCTCCTGATGGTGGCAGCTAAAGTATTGCAATTTTCTAGGTGGGCTTGTGCTCTGTTGCTAACCTGTATTGACACAGAACATCTTCACTGCTACTGACTCCCATTTTGCCTTATATTGCTGAAATCATCCTAAATTAAAGATAGCCTATACAAACTCCTAATACAGATAAGCCTGCATTTGCTTGTGTAGATACCCCTTAAGGAGGGCACTCTTAAACAGTCACTTATTGCTCTGTCCCAGTGCCCTCTTTTAGTACTGATAGAAAATTTGCAATCATTTCCTCTATTCATGTGCAGACCAAAGAATGCCACAAACGAGCAATGACATGCAACATCTGTGAGCTTGAAATGCCTTTCAACGAGCTGCAGGAACACTTGAACACCTGCGGTAGCCGAACAGAGCGCTGTTTGGAGTGCAACAAATACATCATGTACAAAGACCTGAACAAACACAAAGATATTTGTCAGAGCAGTGGTTTGTCCTGTCAGAAGGATGTGAACTTTCAAACCAGTGAAGGATCCACTAATGCAACATTTATTTACCCTACTGGTAAGCAAAATTCTTCATTGTCATAGACTGGGTCAACTCTATTAAATCTCAAGGAAAATTCTCCTGCCTTCACTACAATTCTCAGTAATCCAGGCTGGAGGGGATTGTTGTTTAACCAATCACAGTGAAAGGGCCAAGTGCTGATTTCTATTATGCTGGTTATTGTAAAGCCAGAATAGTTCCAGTGACTGGTAGCTCATTGACCATGTTCTTTTCTGCCTTCCTTATATCCTGGAAGTGAAATTCTTTCTGTCAGAAAATAAGTGGAATGTCTTCCTCTTTCTATTTGTTGCACAGGAGGAAATTATGATTTTGAGTTTCCTCCTACTTCATATATAAAGCCAGTGATGCATACTTTGATTTCTTGAGGTGGAGAGCAGCTTTATTAGGCCTAAGGTATTGGAGAGAAGATATCAATACAGAAAATTGATGAATCCTGCAAATGATTCCAGAAAGAACAGGCATCAATAGGTGCCGTGGTTGGCAAAATAAACTATAAAGAGCAAAACCCCCTAGCAACAGAATTAGCTAGGCCAGGGTAGGCGTGAAGCATCTTGAACACAAAACTTGGGGCTGGTGTGGAGTTGCAAGTATCCTGAAATTTGCAAGAAAGGATGGTGGATTGGTTTTGAGTGGTGCCAAAAGCAAAATGTAGTCACAGCTGTAATTCCATCCTGACCCGTGGAATCAGCATTCTGTGTTTCTCTAGAACCAGTGACCATAGGTGGAACTGAGCAGCCTGTCTAGATGACTAGTGTCAGTACTGTGTTTCTCTCTGTTTTTTTCCTCTGAAGGTACTGGTGGCAATCTTTGTCAGAAGTGCAATAAGTCATTCCCAGATGACCAGTATTCCCAACATCTGGTAAGCACATTTGAAACTGAACAAGAGAATGGTCTGTGGTTAATTTCTAGACAGGTTATTTCTCTGAAGAGCTATATATTATGTAAGAAAGGGCAGTGTGTCTTGGCTTTTCAAACTGTAGTTTCTTGATACATGTATTCAGCTGAAGAATCACTGTGAGGTGGTGTCCACTGTCCCTCCCCATGATTCACGTCTGTTGCAAATCACAACATACCATACAGGTGGTGTAATGCCAATCTTCACCTCATTATGCATGCTTTCTTTTAACAGAATGAATGCAGTGCAGCCCATAAACAGACAAAAGTTCTTGCTGGCCAGTCAGCTTTGAAACTCAGCAGTGATCCACCACAATCTTCGTCCTCCCTGGCTCCCTCTTCCAGCTCAGAGAATCCAATGGTGTGGAAAGATGTCCGTCCCAAAGGGAAAGAAAGGGACCAGCCATTGACCTCCAAAACCTCGCTTAAACCCCCAAGGAACAGAAAGATGGGCTTTCCCTCTCCTACAAGAGGTGGAGTTTCTACATCACCTCAAGCTCTTAAAGATACCGAGTGTTTTGACATGCTGGTGACCTGTGCCCATTGCAACATTCTTCTGCCACTTCCAACCTTTCAGAAACATGAGGTGAGAAGTGACACATTTGACTTGGCCTCCTACATGCAAAGGGCCATAGCTACAGAGTCATTACGTATCTCCACAATGCCTGGGGTCCCAGTACCCATTTCTGGATTCCATAGCTTTGTGAAATGCTGGCCATAGGTACAATCTCTCTGTAAAGCATGGAATTTGTTAATTCCATTGCTCACATCCAGACAAACAAGATCCATTGCCTATCATCTGCTTGAGTTTTAGGAAAATAATAACCGTGACTCAAGCCACTAATTTTAAGCTCAAATCCTGGAAAGTCTTCAGCAACTGTCCTTATTTGCTGAAGGCTGATATTGTTCCTGCTAAGCAAATAGTACAATTATATCTCAGCTGCATCAGAGATGGAGCTCTAGATAGTTTTTCATCCCAACAAAGGGGTCCAGTTGCCTTTCTACTGAATATGATTGCATATTGAATATAATGTTAAATTCTCCTCTGATATGACTGTTATTTTTCTAGGTCAAATGTCTACATTTGACATATTTGGAAAATGGTAGAATGGAACAAAAATCAAGCCATGGAGAAAAAGGTACTGCAGAATTTCAGAAATTTAGAATAAAATTTATCATTCAGGATTATTCTACATTGGGTTAATAGCAACAATGGAATATTTTGCAGAGGAAGTGAATAAGTGAAGAAAAGCTAATGCTCAGACTATCACAAAGCTCTCTAGATTCCAACACAGAGTGGGTTCCCATGAGGTTATATTAAGCAACCATTGCTTCAGAGCCAGTATGTTTTCACTCTCTTGACTCAGAGTAACACGTATTGTGCCTCTCTAATTATGCTACTATGAGCAGTTCAGTACCTTCGCTGCTGTAAACAGAGATCAGCACAAAAGACTTCGCAGATGTTCTGTCCCAGGTCTTTCTGCTCCAATAATGAATGGAGACTTAAAAAACAGTTTCAGAAAACACGAAGTAAAATTATTTTTTCCCCCATAGTAAAAATTGCATATTCAGTAGAAGCATTGATATAGTTGTGCCAGACAGTACCTCCAGCTGAGCTTGTGCTGATCCACAGGCACTAAAGTAAGTCTTTTTCTTCATTCTGTGTCAGTCAGGCTGTGAATCTTAAAGCTTCTCTCTTTGCTAACATCCCCCTCTGCTTTTCAGTTCCTACGCAGTATCATTTCCTCTCAGTTCAATTAATTAAGTGAAACCGAAAGCAGTTGTTCTCAGTCTGTCCTTTTTCTACTTGGCTCAGTACATGAGGTATTCTCCCCATAAAACTTTCCTCTGCTGGTAAATTAAAGAGAGAAAGCACCAAAGTGAGAAATAGGGGGTTTGTCTAGTTTTGAATTACAGGACTATAGTCTTGAAATAAAAGTAAGTATATGGTAATTGCACAGATTATTTGACTTTCATTGTGGTTTTTTTATAGTGTTCAACTGAGTGATGACATAGGAAGGCTGTAAAACTGAAGCTTTAAAAACATTCATAACTGGGCTTTTTTTTTTACAGAAGACTCTTTCTACAGCACTCTTGATTAAATCTGGAAACAGAGGCCTGTCTTCAGATTGAAGCTTCAGCTCAGCTTTAGCAAAAGGCTCTGAAAGTGCAATAGCTTTATCAACAAATGAAAGTGATTTGCTACTCTGGATCAAGAACAAAAAGTGACTCCGATTTTTATTCCTGATCAAGAGAGGCATTTAAAAGGTTTCACCAGAAAACCGTAAAAGTGATGGGGGTTCAACAGCTGTTGTAATTTCAAGTATTTCTGTGTAAGCTTGCCTTAGGAATGTACTTTTTCCACCCGCTTCAGCAAGGAGAGAAGCTTATTTAAAAATGTTTGTTCTTGGGGAGAGAAGGAAATAAGGAATTCTGAATTCTTTGCCATGTTGAGCGCCACCAATTCCCCTTGCCCTCACTGAGAGCTGAGACTTTAGTGTTTTTCAGGGCATGGCCTAGTGAAATGAAAAAACATTAAATCCTGCTCTCCTCCACTTCACTGAACCTTAGAGCTAGCACAAACAGCTTAGTCTCTGGAGATTGCAGACACATCCAAGGATAACAGGGTGTTCATCTTCTGATATACAAATGGAAACAGACAGAGCCCAATGGTGGAAAAGATAAACATGAGGAGTGGGTGGATGCTTTCTGCTAATGTCTGCAAACATTTGTGAATGCTGCCGCTTGGCATCTAAAATCAATAAACACTAAAACATGTTAACAGAACAGCTTTACTACAAGGTGCCATTTTCCTCTTACCTACCTGTAGCAGTGTTCAGTCTTAGAAGCTGATGGCTGGAACTAATGTACATATGCTGACCTATAATTTGAGTAACATCTTACTTCTCACATCCAAACTTGTTGGTATCTGCATCATTTATGCACAAGCACACATGGGATGTGAAGTCAGGCTGAGTTCATAAACTCTCTCGGTGATTCAGCAAGGGCCCAGGCTCATTTATGCATGTTGTAGGCATATCTGCACAGACAGGACTGAGCTGAAATGCACCAGTGGATGTTCCACTGTAAATGAGTCCACAGTAAAAGACTAAAACGAGTTTGGAGACAAGATGCTTTGTGCCTAGAAACAGCCCGATTTACCAGACAGGCCAACGAGTGAGTGGGCAGGTAAGGGGATGGTGCTGGCACCAGCCGTTATCACGGGACAGCTGCGGATGGATGTCACACGCTGTCATGGGTTAGCCTGACAGCGCAGAACAGCAATGGGGCCACATCCTGTACCGCAAGACAGGAACCAAAGCGGCTGTGTCTGAAAAGTGTCATTAAAGTCACAGCAGAGCACACGGCCGGTTTTATCCTTACAACCTTTTTTTTGCGGGGGGTGGGGAGAAGGCCTAGTTCCTTAAAGCGGTACGTGCTCGCCTCTGCAAAGCACAGCCGGGTTTATTTTGCTGTCTATGCTGCAGTGTCATCGTGTGGCTCTTGGCGGTACTGGCCTGAGCTGAGCCCCGGCTCCCCGGCTGCCCGGCAGCTGCCGCGGTTTCTCTGCCGCCCCGAGGCTACACACAGAGACTTTGGCACTGTTACCGTTCAGTAATTAGTCACTTCAGGATCCCAACTGGGTTAAAAACACCAGATGGATAAAGAGATCAGCAAGCCAAGTGTCCACAAGGGCTGCAGCACTCCTAAAGTCTTCCTGTGGCATCCCTGTGCGCCCTGTGCGCGGATGTCACAGAGAGCTGCTAGGGGTTTGTCTCAGCGAGAAAAGAGCCCCCACTTGTGAGCCCCCAGAAAATATGAGCCAAATGAAAATACCTCTCTGGAAGATCTTGAAAGCAACCTGGCTCCTTCCTCCTCCCAAGGTGAGGAAATGGCTGTTACAGCTCCATCAAATGTTACCCTGGTCCTGGAGGAGCGGTGCTTACCCTGTGGAGCTCGGTGACCCTTGTTCCCAAGCTCTGTGAGCTCCCTGGGGACAAAAAAAAGGTTTTTAATTTTTGAAGAATGACCTCTTTCTAAATTGCTGGTCTCTAGAGGGAAGTTAAAGGACCTGCCAGTTTGCAGAGGCAAAGGACTGTATGAAAACAGCAGCCGCCTACACTTAGGGCAGATCTGAGGTCTGAGGGCCCATAAGGGGTATGGGTAGGGGAGCACAACGTTAGGGGTGAGAAGCAAAGCTTCCTTTCTCTTCTGCTTTTAGTTTCAAAATTCCCCAGATTTGTAATCCAGTTTGGTGTGAAAGTGGCAATAGCTTTGGTCACTAGATGGCGATGAAGAGTCAATGTGCTCTTCCCTCTGCAGCGGGGACGTTCCTGAGAGCTTGGCCTCGGTTTGCCCTGGGAGAAAGAACTGGGAGATACTAGAGAAACCATAATCCTAAGTGTGCAGTCATCCTGCTGGGTAATGAGGATTTCTTTCGTTATTATAAGTTTCTTAACAAAAATTAGATAGGTTGTATTTACCAAGCAGAAAATGATTATCACATTAAAAGTATAATTCTAAGTACGAAAAAGATGCTCAGCCTCACCAGGACAGGTACTCAGACAATATGACATCATACTCCTGAAACAGTGCTGATGTGTCAAATACACTGGGATTTCAGTGGTTTACCCTGAAGTTCAAGCCACAGTTTTATTCCTCAGCAGTTGCAGGAGGCAATCCATTTCTGTAGGACCCTCCTTCCTTGGTAAATGCTTATCTACATGCCTCTCCAGCCATTTTTTTAAAACAATCCTTCGTCATAGTGAAAACTTTAATACAAGTCTATGAGATACCAGAGTGTATTTGTCCATTTCCTAGGTGCTGTGTGCTGGTGGCTTCTCCTCCACTACACTGTGTGCTGGGAGTATCTTAATTTTGCTTGAAGGTTAATCTTGTTTGAAGGCAGAAGTTTTGTGTGTATGAAAAACTGCAAAGCCAGCTGGCATGTTCTACTCCTGTGCACTGTTGTGATTCAAAGTAGTGTTATGGGAAGCAGAAGGAACTAAATGAAGAAATTAAACTGACAATATACCCTGCAGTGAGCTGATGGGGAGAAGCTAAATGACCTATTTTTTGATTTGCCCACTGCTGCTTCTCAGTGGTTCTGCTGCAAAGGACAATGCAGGATCTCAGTACTTTTTGCTGTCTTCTATGGCATGTGGATTTTCAATAATCCAGAGGGTAAAAGTCATCTGTTAAGAGCCAACACAAGGCCCCCATAGCACTTTAGCATGTTTAAAGAAAAAGTAACCTGTATATTATTTACAAACCATACCCAACTATGTAACTTGCATAGTACCTCATGACTGGCAGCTCTTCATTTCTCTTGAAGGGCTTTCTGGGTTGCTTAAATTGACATTGGGATAAAACTTGACAGAAACTTGACCTCAGCTACTTTTTTGATAATTTAGAAAAAACCCACAAAAACTAAACAAACTATTAGCTAGATGTCTGGGACTGGTCATCTCCCATGGTATATGAACATTTTCCTCAGCAATTCAGAAAGAAATGCAGTAAAAGTGTAAGCAAACAGTGGGGAAGATTGAGTGTTAAAAGTAAATGAGTTGGATGACTGCCAGTAATTTCAGAGCTGTGTATTTCTTTGATTTCAGAAAGGTACATTTCCCACAGTCTGCAGGCCTAGGTGCTGTCTTTGCCTGGATGTGTGCAGAAGCAGTGCAGCTGCTTAGATCAGCTCTTATTAACAGCTGTCAAGAGCAATCGTGTTCCCTGGAAGACAGAAGAACATGTTAAAAGGATAGCAGGTTTATATATAGCTGTGCATCCTTATGTGTCACGCCGTTTCGTTCTTGAAGCATTGCTGGCAGATTCCTCCTTGGATTTAATGCAAACTTTTTAATGCAGGCCCCTTACAAGGTGCGGGTGGGGAGCAGGTTGATCAACATCCCAGTCAGTCAGGCCAACAGCTTGGTTTTAAAAGAAAAATTCAATAACATTTTCTTGGCTTTCTAAAAAGATGACATTTCATTTCTGCACCATGAAGTATAATGATAACCATTGTGACTGATGATTGCGAAGGCTCTGCAAGCCCATGGAGATAGTTATTGGAAAAATGTTCAACCTGGCTGTTGGAAAGTTGCACTCATGCCCATCAGTGTGAGAGAGGCAGCTGGAGGTCTGTGGGGAATTCTTCAAGGCTGATTAAACTAAAGATATGCTTCGCCCTTCTCAGAGTTACGCTGAGACCAAACCTTGGTGCCGCTTGGGTGGATCATGATAGTGCCTGGATCCTGCAAAGTCAGTGATCGCCAGCTGGATGACTCCAGTGAGCTGAGGACTCCAATGTCAGGGAAGTAGTGCAAGAGGTGCCAGCCCAATGCTGTTTGCTGGCAGGCGTAGGGTTAAACCAGGTGCTCAGGTGTTTGCAGGAGCGCTGTGGAGGCTGGTCCTGGATAGGCTCAGCTGTGGCCAGGGTGTTACCCTGCAGAGGCAGGGGTGTATAAAAGGGATGAGAAGGGGCTGTGTGCTCCTTTGGCATTGGAACTAGGTGATCTTTAAGGTCCTTTCCAATCCAAACCATTCTATGATTCTATGATTGCTGGGGAGAGCAGGTGCTTCTTGAAGAGTGTTTAGGAGAGGGGTGCAGGTGTTGCTGGTGGAGAGGAGGTTGGCAGCTTTCAGATTAAAGTGTTACCAACAAATGAAAAGGAGTCTTAGGGACTAGATAACCTCTCCTGTCTCTCTGTCTCGTGATATGTGCTATCAGAGTGCTATCTTCTCTTTCTACGATCTCTGCTATCAGAGATTTATTGCCATGGATGTGTGAGCTGAGAAGTCAGATTCAGCTTGTTGAAAGATCCCTAAAGCTAGAGAAGGCAGAGGATAGTTTGACTGCTGGCATCTATGGTTGCACCTCCTTAACTTCAGTGCAATTCTGGGTGCCTCTGCACTGGTGTCCAGAACAGTGGTGTGGTGACAGGTTTGGATGTGAGGAATGTGTGGAAATGAGGTTATAACAATGGCAGTAAATTACTGCAATT